TTCAATTTCGTTAAAACTTTGGATATTCATGGACCTGTATGTGGGTCATCGATTCCTATCGTGATTTTCTTCTGGGCCCTAAGAGAGTGCATGGGATGTTATAACTTTTGACTGGAAATAGATATCGATTTGATTTTTGCAGCAAAAAATCACAAGTTCAAACTTTCGTACGATGTACGATCTTTTAGTTTTTTAATTTTTTTAACTAATTTTCGCGCACTTTTATGATTTCCGTGCTCATGGAAAATTCAATAAAAATGCAATACCCAAAAATGTATCCTCAGATTTTAACAAAAAGCTTAAATTGAGAAGTTCATATCATGCTTCTTAAACGGTATTGGGTGCATCTTGGGAAAACTTTTCGTTTCGGAGCTATAACGCAAAATTCAACTCAATGTTGAATTCGTGAATGCAAAAATAGATATTTTAGTTGAACTTACTTTGGGACACGATTTTTTTAAAACTTGTTTACGGATATTGATAGTACTCGATGAAAAAAGGCTAAACATTAAGTTTCAAGTATTGACATTCGATATCCGATTTAGAAGTTATGCATATATAAAGTTAATTAATAAATATGAATATATGATTATGTAGGCTACACCGATTTTGATAATTTTGAAATGTGGTGTTCAGATCATTTTCAACAACTTTTCCCCTAAGAAAACTGGTGCTTTGTTTTAGTTTTCGAAATAATCGTAAAAAGTTACTTCTAACTATGTTTTCCTTTTAATATGATCCTGTCTATAGTTCCCAAAAATAAGCAAAGGTTTAACGAAATTAAAGTGGGACGAAAACATATGGTTTTTGAATAGGGTCGTTTAGCAAAATCACAGAAACTGTAATATTAAAAGGAAATATGAAATATATGTAAGTAAGAGCTTGAAAATGAAGTATTGAATTATTCTATCGAAATATGGTATATCTTAAATAGAATCTTAAATAGAATTTTTGTTTAACTGAAAATTTTAATCTAATTCAACATTATTGTATCATGATTATTGATTATAATTGACTTTATAATGATTACTTCCATTAATCGATTAAAATACTTCCCGACTTTTCAACGATCAATTTCCTTAATCAATGATTGATGATTACTGTCTTTAATTAATTAAATCAATGATTACATCGCTGATTTCTTTACCATTATTGTTTTTTAATCAACGATTGCTGGTTATTGCCACTTTATCTCGAGGATCTTTGTTTTAATGAATTATGTTGTGTAGCTGTAATATATTATATTGCAGTATAACCTTTATACATATACATATAAGAAAGCAAGAGGGGAACTTCCGAAAAGAAAGTTAGCTGGAACGGAATGTGTTAAGGTGCTCGCGTTTTAATTTGAATAATTTTTTATGTAAATGCAGGTGCACGCAATAATTTGCATATGTAAGTATATACGTAGATACCGTAGAGTGCATAAAAACGAATCTCTAATTTTCAGTACCTACATAATATTCTTCAAGAGTCGTACATAACAAACAGATCAACAAATAAATAATAATCCTGAATAATTTCTTTGTATTCTGAAAATATTCGACAAAATTAATAACTTTTCGAAAATTAACAATTATCTTTGACACCTCGTATATTCGACTTCTTAATAATAGTTTACTGAATTTCCAAGGACCTTCGTATCACATCTCTGCAGTAGTTTACTACATAAACTATCCCATTTTAATCTATAATTGTAATTGTTTATGAAACTATTTCGTTATTTAAACAAATGTCTCAAATGCAATTCTTTCTGTTTTAATGAATTCTTTATTTAGATAAGTTAACACTTTTTTGTAGAGAATAATCTGTAGCATTGATTGGCGCAAAAAAGTTATATAAATATACTTGAAATAATGGTAGTAAATTTTTTACACTTTCCTAGATAAATACAAAGTGTACATTATATATTGTTCCTTCAAAACAAATGATTCGTAATCAAAGGGTTAAGTATGGATTAAGGTATGGGATAATTTATTCCTGTTTTCTTGTAGTGAATTAACCCAAATAGTAACTGGTTATTCAAAAATTCCTTAGGCACGTTCAAAATTGTAATCTATGATACTAATGTTATGAAAATTGATTTTTTAATGTTAAATGATTAATGAAAAATATTTCTGGAAATCAAAACTTGTAATGAATACATGCTTGCGCTCATTTGACAATAATATTATTGTATATGACATAAGAACAAATATAAATGTTTTAGAAACTTTCTGATTGTAAGTATACTCGGTTCTTTAATTTGGATGAGTAAAGCAGACATACAAATTTAAATTAATAAAACGCATTTTGAAAAATTGTTATTTTTATTGTATCAACGTTTCAAAAAAATATGTTAATCTATCTAGAAATGTACTCTAACAACATTGTTATTGTGTTAAAGGAATCATAAAGTTCATATTTTATTTACAGGTGACATTCATAATTCTCAATTGTATTGTTTATTTTATAAATAAATGTAAGTTTCTTAAATACGTTATACTTAAAATCAAATTATTAGATACGATCCTCACGATAACTGAAAATGTATTGAATAAATAATTCATTTATTTTTGAATAACTAGTTCTTACAATATTATGCAGTTTTCGTTGCGCTGAACTTTTGATCAACTCATAAATTTTTTATCTTTTCCTGGAGAAGGTTGACTAAACGAGTTAGCACATTACTCGACCTTCAAACGTTTTTTCAGGTTAAAATAATCGACATTTTTTCAAAGTTGAATATGTTAAAAATCGACTACATTGGAAACTATGTATGACTATCTCTTTTAACCAAATGCTTTTGTTCTTGCGATTGCATGAAACCTGTTTGAACAGGATAGTGTTACGTAAGTTTGCCCAATGGACAATAGACGTAACGCTGCTGTTTTCTGCTTGATATTCCTAAAAAATTATCTTATTACATTTACTGCACTTAATCATCATAGTCACCATATTTGTTATTATAATTCTGCATTTACTACAATTTTTAAAAAATGAATATTCTTTCTCATGAAAAATATAGAATATAGAATATTCTTTATCGTGAGAAATGTAGAATATGCAATATTCCATATCATTATTTAAAACAAACGTTTAAAATTACGTAACACTTGAAACATGTAATATCTACTTAGAATGACCTTCAAACGCATGCTCATTTCGAGAATTATTAATCAGATATATCACAGTAACTCATTTGTGTGAAATCATTAAATACACTTCTTTAATTTCAGGATACTGATTTCAGAATACCTCCCAGTTGTAAATGGGGAATATGTTATTCGCCGGTGATCAATAGTTCTATACGTGCCTACCCGCGTCGCTCGTAATCTACGGAGTTTCATCACTGGCTAGGCGTTCGTACCGATGATAGGACATTAATCGTATGATTAAACAACGGGATCCCAGAGGGACGAAAGTAAAAATAAATACAATCGTAAGAGTAAGTAAATACAAGTTTTATTTAACACTAAAACTAACTAGACGGGTCAAAATGACCCGTTCCTGATTTCTTCATTTTGCAATTATTAAAAAGCTAACAGGTATTTCTCTGGGAAATTATTAAAGACATTGATTTAGCAATACGCAAACTGAATTATAAATCAATTAAAGTCTCGATAGAAGCACTCTTGAGGTTGTTATAGAGGAATTTCAAAAAGTAAATTTAACTGCTCGGTGGAGTGTTAAAATCAATTTAGTGTTAGTCACAAATGCTTAATTATCGAAATAATCGTCATTATTATTTATGACGTTCTGCTATTTTTGTGGGAGGTTTCGGTACCTCTGATAAAATGAATTTATTGAATCCTATAAAATTATTAGGATCACATGTATTGATACATAACATAAATTATAAATATATTTCAAAACGTTTTGTTTGTCTTAATTTCTTAAAATAAAAGAAATATATTTTAAAAAGTTTTGTTTATCTTAATTTCTTAAACTAAAACAAATATAAAAAAAATGTTGGCTTATACCCTTAGCTTGTTGGTAGTCCGCACAGACTTGAGAAATAAATAGATGTTAGGTACATACATGTATATTTTCTTTGAGTTTGGAGCGTCATTATTTAATTTCATTACTCTACGAGAGACAAAATTAAATTTCACACTCAACAGGTTAATATGTAATCACTTTGTATTTCATTGAATTCTATGTTTGGATTTGTAGAGATTGATGTTATCGAGATTCGACTGTATGTAAAGTTGCCCAATGGCTCGGCTGTGGAATGCAGATCTAATCAACGAGTTTTCGTGTATTTTCATTTCATTTTTGACATTAATTTGCCATTTGTTAATATGATTACACATAACTAATTAGAACCATAAACAAAATATTCAGCAAAAGACCCACTTTGCCCCTGTGTCCTCCCGAACTTCTTTGTTTATCTAATGTATCCACACTCGTCCCTCCATTATGCGGAGTATCCGTTCCACGTGGATTCGTTTTTAATTTTCACTCGATTACTAGAATTTGACAGTATAAAAGAAAACAAAATATTGAAAAGAAAGCTGGTATAAGTTTTATAAATACATATTCATTTCACATAGCTTAAAATTTCACCAAACGTAGGATAAAATTTTTGTAATATTTTTTAAACCGCGTAAGTTTGCTAGCAGGCCTAAGTGGCCTAATTTTTTATACAATCGTAAGCATTAAAATTTGAAATTCAATTGAATAAACATCACCATTACATTGCATTCTGTTATTTTTTTATTACTGTTCAACTAATCTAGTCGTAAATTAAATGTGTTTCTTGAAGACTTTAACCTACATATCATCGATTAATTTACAAAACAACTAGTTATTTCATAGAATAACTAGATACAGTTTGAAATAGTGTATTTGACATTTTAATCAAGTCAGTTGAATAATTCATACCTAGTTAGTTTACGAAATAACTGAATTATACACTTTACCGGTAACATATACACGCAGTGGTGTATTCTTGTAGAGGGGAATCCTGACGCGTCACAGTATGGAGGGGGACGTTCAAGCGCCAGCAGAAAGAGGCTCGTTCCGTACGGTTTCCTTGTCGTTCCCGCCACTCGAAGCCTAGTCGAATTTCTGTCTGATCTCTGCTGTCCGTTCCTACCCAGTGAAGCAGTCGCGTTTCTGCGTTCGCGTTCATCGTGCGTTTGTAGGTTGCGTGCCTCTTCGAACCGGTCGGCTTGCTCGCGCGCGCGAGAGGACGAGCAAACTTGGCCGGAGATAAAGCGATAGAACTACCGTTGTTGCGATCAGGCGCTATAATCGTCGATCCGCTTCGATAAATATTCGTCGCGGCTCTACAAAGACTACAATTGACGGATAACTCGCGTTCCCGCGCTAGATCGTGACCCAGAATCCGAGGCTCGCGTGTGAATCTGCGAATAAAGAATTGGTCGGGACCAAAGTTTCAAATACCAACTGTTACTTTGGAATGATGAGCGAATTTTTTAAATACCTGCCATGCTGCGACACTTTTTATTAGATAGCGGAGCATTTTTCGAACGTTTCTCTAATCGACGATAATGAAACGGTACTAAATGAGAGGGCGAATTGTATTTTAATCGAGTGGTTTTGTGATTAAGGTAATTGTCACGGGATTGAGCTTTATAAAGCTGGAAGATTGAGCTTCTTCAAGTAGAAGGATCGAGTTTTCTATAAACAAATGATTGAGTTTCTTAATGTTAAGAGATTAAGCTTTAAAAATAAAAAATTGAACTTCTTAAAGTGAAAAGATCGAACTTCCAATAATCAAATGATTGAGTTTCTCAGAATTAAAAGATTAAGCTTTACAGTAAGAAAATTGAACTTCTCAGAGTAAAAGAACTGAGATTCTTATAATCAAACAATTAATTTCCTCATAATTAAAAGATTAAGCTTCAAAAAATAACAAAATCGAGCTTCCCAAAGTTACGACATTGGGATTTCTAAGTGATGAATTCGTTATTCATACGCCGAATTAGGAAGGAATATTTGTTGTCAGTGTTAAATGGTAAAAGTGTGCAAGAAGACGCAGAGAAAATTTACAACCAGAAGATACTATGATATTGATGGAACGAAAGTCTAGGAATTAATCGGAAGGTAAATTTGAAGCTGTCGAAAAATAAAGCGTTCTAAGCTCTAAGAAAGCAGAAATTCAAATAATCTTTCCAGAAAAGCGCTGGTTAATCGCTTTAGCACCTCGTGGAGCGCTTAAATAAGTGTACTTAAGTTAAGTGGAATTCGTAAGACGGAGGGTTGTGATAGATTCGCGTTATGGTCGGCAGGGGTAGAACTGCGCGAGCAGTATAATCATAGCTCCGAGGGAGAAAAGAAACCACGAGAAGGTGTAAGGAGGCCAATAAATTCGAGACTAGGGGTTGACGGAAAATGCGAGTTATTTTGAGGACAAAATTGATGACAAGAGAAATGAGGAGAATGAGATAAAGAGTCAAACTTAGATTAAAATTTTAGTCGAACGCAAACAGTGTTAATCCCTTGCCTTATGATTTCTTTCTGAACTGTGATCGATTTAACTACTTTGTAATTAATAATTTATTGAAAATCAGCGAACATTCCAATCTTATTCTATGTAAACGTGTACTCTAAGGTATAATCATTGATAACAAAGGAATTTACATTCGAACAAATTGAATAATATTTATGTTTGTCAAATTCTATTTAAAATCTTCATCACGAGTTTGATACGATATTGTAGGGTAAGAGGTTAAATGGTACTTTGAAAACAAGCCAAAGCATTTACGAAGTGTATAATTAAAAAAATCATTATCACTACACTTTCGTTACATATGATTTTATTAAAAAGATGAAGGTAAAACTTAGTTGAATGTGTACGGTGTTAATATTACAATAAGCGAAACTTTAAAAACAAGCAAAAGGATTGAAGAAATTAATAATTGATAAATATATTATTTTCACATCTTTACTACATATTCATGTATACACACACGTAGATAACGATAAGAAATAACCATGATAGCGTTGGAAATTACAATAATCATGTATAAAGCATAAAGTTCTATTATTGCATGCAACCTAAGTGCAAACTCGAAGAATCTAAGAGCACAAAATTATCCGCCGATTCCCGGATAAATAAGGAACGAAGGGGAACCGCGTGATTGAGTGGAAAACTAGTAACGCGAGAACAAGAACAGACCGAAACGAACGGAGGATCGAATTCCGGAAGAAAGTAACTTTCCACGGAACTAATTCCGCGCGATTCGACAGACGAATTTCTTTTTAACGATCAACCAGAGAACACGGGGACTATCGGTGTTTAATTGCCGTTTCCCACGTTACGAAATCGTCTCGTTGATATAAGCATCGGCGAACGAGCGTTCGGAAAAGTAATTGTCGGGATAAGAGGAATCGCGTCGCTTCTGAGAAGAATATGGAATTCCGTGAAGCTTTGATTGCGTGATTGATAGGCAAAGAAATAGAAATTAGAGCTATGGTAATCAATCATGAGAATGCAGGGAAGGTGAAGGAATAATAATAATTTCGTAGCAAGTTTGATGAAATATCTGGAATATCACGAGAAAGCTGCTTGGCTAACGAAGCAAAACGTTGAATGAACTTTCGTTCCTGACCTCATCCTAGACCTCTATTCTTTCGTTTTATCTCTTCTTCTGGACGATAAGATTACTTTTCTCGAGACGCGCTAGCTAATTTCGAGAAATAGCTGCTTTTTAATTGTCCAGTCGTTCCTCGGCGAGCATCCGCGATGCCGTTGCGTGCGAGTCCGCTGTTGCATTATGCAACGGAAGCGACGATTTAATCGACCAGAGACGGCTTACACTGAATCACTCCGAGATTACCACTGGGACACTGGAGTTAGGGATTCGACAAGGAAAAGTAACGAACAACAACGCTCGTGGTTATCGATCATGCGTACGGCTAACGATTCAAACGGACAACGAGAAAATTGGAGAGGTTTGCTGATTGAACATAATCAGGAGAAGTTAATGGACTATCCGACATCGGTTAACACTAAAACTATTGAACGCATCAAAATGAACCATTCCAAATCTCTTCTTTTCACGATTATTAAACAAATAACAGATATTTCTTTGAGAAATTATTAAAGAAATTGACTTAGTAATAGGCAAACTGAATTGTAAATTAATTAAACTCCCAATAGATGGTAGGTAGTGTTAGTGCTAAAGCTTTGTATTTGTATTTGAATCATTTGCCGTTTGAACCTGTGAAAGAAACGGAATATTCGATTTTATTCTAAATCGTATCACGTCTAATAATAAGTACAGTTCAACAGTAACAAAATATTCTCAAATTAGTGAAAAGGCAAATTGACTACACGATTATGTAACATAGTTGCACATTTGTGAAAATCCAAGACCACTTCCGACAACAAATGGTTAAACAGTTCAATCCTTCTCTCATCCTGTTTTTGTTTAATATCAAATTTCGTAAATTACTTTGGCACTTAGAGTTGCTGTAAAAGCAAACTGCAGCCACCTGTATATTCCTAGTGCCCATGTGCCTCGCATATTTCATCAAAAGTGTTAGCAGCCACTTAACAAGCAATTGATGTACGATAGATCAAAGTACCTCGGGGGTTATCACATCCCTTAGTCACGATCTGATGAAGTGATACGAAAATAGACGAAAAAAGTGGAGCAGTGGTGTGCGAGAGATGTGCGTAGATCCGGAAGACAATTTTAGTTGTCGATTCCTGGAATGTTCGCGCGTCGAAGGGGATCGGAGATCAAATGGGACAAAATTAAACAAACGCGGAGGAATCGTCCAATCGGCCGAATCGCGCCACAGTGAGCTGGATGGATGAAGTAGGTGACATTTTGCCAAAAGGTTAACTTTCTGGAATATATATCTAATGAATGCACTTTGGTTCTTAAATGTCTATAAACCTCAGCAATGAAAATATTAGTATAATTTAGTACATATTATAAGAACTGTAATAAATGTCAAAAGTTAGACATTTTAAAAGTATCAATTCTCTCAAAAGAGAATTCATACATGATGCTATGACAATTGTATCTAATATATTTGCTTCGTTTTGGTCTTAAAATGTTCAACATACTGTTCCGATTAAAATTACATTTGTACTAAACAGTACTGTTTTTTATCGATTAGAATAGTAACGCTTAATAAACTAATAAAAATTCTTAAACTTCTTTACATTTGATAAGGAATAACTTTTAAGTGCTAAAATTAGATCAAACAAATTGGAATATACTGAGCATAGTTTTCTGTACAGGATTATGAATATCATATCCACTTTCGTCCACTGTCACAAGTTATTAGCGATTAAAGTTGCATGAAAATACTGATTTGACACTAAGTTTTACATACAGTGCAGCGCTCACGTTTGCTCCATCGTCCATCAAGCTAAGAGTGCACAGGGACAAGGGGACTCTTCCACTTACGATGCTCGGGCCACCTCAACTTTCGACGCATAGTCGTTATTGACGTGTGGCAATAACAGAGGACAGAAGTGAGACCGATTGCGATGAAGTGACACGTAACGATAGAGAACAAAATTCTCTGTAGTTCCTTCTGATTCCGTCATATTCAGTCTCGCTTCCGTCCTTTGTTATTGTTATGCGTGTTTATTGCCAATATTGTTATTCAACCATGCGTCGAAAGTCGAGGCGGCTCCGTGCATCATGAGTGGAGGAGTCCCCATGTCTCTGCTCATTTATATCCTTTTAGCTAATTACGATGACCAAAGCTCTCAAATTACTTAATACGTTCGCTACCAGCGTTTATTTCCGTGACGGTTTTCTCAAATATAATATTTTATTCAATCCAATAAATCTTTTAAACAAAATATTGCACAAATAAAACTGAAACGAGTCATTGAGTTCCTAAATATAATGCCGTAGCTTATAATTTTAAATAACAATACCTATAGAATTAATTTAATTTTCATTATGCAAAATATAAGATTACGCCCGTCACAAATGAGTCGTTCAGAAGTCAATGCGGTTGTCCAGAAAACAAAAATTGAAGGAATTAATGTTTTGGTTTCTGAAATTATTATACAACATATTTAGAAGCTTTAAAGAGAACTTTTTTTCTGATCTAATGAAAACGAAGAAAGATATTATTATTACATTCATATTATAAATATATAGAGAAGTATAGTAAAGGTAAAGAATAAACAAAATACATAAAATATATTACAATGATTATAATTACAAGATAATAATTTTTTAAATGAATTTTAGTGCAAATTTCATACTGATACCTTCTATGGTTGAAAAGTTATAGTAAAATGTCACCTACTCTTCCGATCCAACCTACTGTGCGCCGTCGCGCGCAAATCGCGGTTTCTTATCAGCGCGCGCGATTCCATCAATGTTTTAGTTTGTTTTCCCGTTACACCGGCCCCTCGAATGCAACGCGACGAAAAAACGTGGAATAAAAAGTGAATAAATATTTGTGTGCGGTGTCAACTTTTTGAGCAAACATTTGGGATTTCGTGGCGGACGGTCCTTGCAGTGGGAACTCGAGTGGCAATCGAGCGGTGAGTTTTCATTCATGGGATACGTGTGTCCTTTTCTTTTGCTTTTTTTCTTGTTTTTTGTTTAGTGAGTCGCGAGTATAAATTGATTAACACTAGAAGCGATACGTTTCTATCAGATTCTGGTTTCATTGGAAAATGTAATTTGCAAAAGTTTGTAGCTGAATGTCGCAAGAGTTTGTTAATCAGATGTACCTGTATATTGAAAATGCTATTTTTTTGACATGATACTTGTGATTATTTATTGCTCAAAATTAAAAAAAAATTGAACATTACAAGTGCATAGTGAAGAAGTTGATGGAAAGTTACAGGTATTGATATAAAAAATGTAAAATGACGTAGCTCTGGGCGAATGGTTTCGAATCTGTTAATTTTTTGTAGAATTTATGCTAATTGTTTGGAATTATGCCTTCATCTCCAAGTGGGCTGTATATTTTGATCGAAGACAAGATTAATATGTACATGAGTGGTTATATTGGAGAATTTTTATTTCATCGTCAATTTTCGCATCGTATCGAATGCATTCATGCATTATTTAATGCATTGAACATATTCATGGAAACGAGTTGAAATACTTGAGACTCCCTTTTATGTGTAATTATCAATTATCAACACTTTAACAATTTAACAACATTTTGTATATTGTTTTCTATTTTATTCGTTGCTCTAATATATTTTACATTAATGATTCCTCATTAACTTAGATGACCTAGAAATATATGATTAGGGTTATCATTCTGAACAACTTCTCCTTATACGTGTTATCTCCTCGACCTTAATTTTCGAGATATTCCTAGAAATATGTTCGAAAAAGTTATTGCTGTTATTTAGAAAAAGCCTGACGTGTGCGATCGTCGGAGGGTTAACTCCTTCCTGCCTGTGGTTTCACTTTGAAACCATCTTACTGTATCTTTTCACGTAGTCTTCTGGTCTGAAATTAAAATCATAATCATAAACTAATTGATGGTATCATCAAAACGTCGACTAATGTAATCAATATTTTATTGTTGCTAGATAATGTTTATAATTTTTAGAATATTAAAGTTTTATTATCAACAATATTGCATTTTCAATTTCAAATTCTAATTTCGGGGGGCTTAAAGAGTTAAAATTACTGTGTTTGTGTACGTATAATTTATAAAAATCATTGGTAGAGACCTGACATTTCCATTGAATTTCAAAAATATACTTCAATAAGGAATAATGATTCCTCAGACCAGTCAGAAAACTGGTTTATTAAACCCTTGACCTACAATATCCTCTTAGAATATGAGAAATCTAAGTGTTATTTACTTTTTTAAAATATAAATTAAATATTACTCTATTATTGATGGTTAGGATTTTTCTGTCCATAATTGAATTATTAACGATAAAGTAGTCGTATCGATCACAGTTAAGAAACAAATCATAGAGCAACGGGTTAAACCACACACATAGTCCCACTGCACTCTAGCGTACCCTGTCTTTCATCAAGGAACCAACCAAATTATTATAATTTGCAGCGACAACGGCGAGACCGGACTTAATAACGAAATAACAGTGTCGAGACTGGAGAAAGTGAAATCGCCGAGGTGCGCGTTCCAACACGAAGCCGTCGCAGTTTACCAGCAGCAGCAGCGTGCACATCAAAATGACGACGCGCGGCCTGATCCTCATTGCGCTGGTCTCATTCTCGGAAGGTGCGTCGGCGTCGAAGAACCAATTAATAAAATGCTGTCCGCCCGGAAAGGTGTTCTGGGGTAAAGCGGTTTGTAACCCGGTACCGGCGGACGCGACGGAACTTTACAGCGTGAATTACGACGGCGTCAGCGACCAATCGAATGGATTTCCGATCTGCGAGGAACCGGAGGATGTCGCTACGTCGCAGCTCTCCAGGCTGAACGGCACCGATTTTCTGCAGGTACGAAACGGATTGGCCGTTTTGCCATTAACTACGGGTGCCGCTCGTAAATTTTCAACCGACCTGGCCAGAGCTAAACGCGATGAATAGAATTGATTGAGACCGCGATACCCTCTTTTCCCCATCGGAGGTTTTTAGACTCTCCACCCTGCGACGATTCTTTCCAATCTAGTAGCTTGTTGCGAATGTTTGCTCCTCTGGATATCTGCGCGTGTCTTCCGTGGACCGGTCGAGGAACGTTAATTGAAAGTTCCTAACGGACAGCTGTACTTTCGAGGGACATCACGAATATTGGGACACGAGTAAATGTGTTGGGGAATGTCTGAAATGTTTGATATACAGTAGAACATGGATAATTCGAACTTCTATAATTCGATTTTCTCCATTCCCTTCTGTTCAACTATAAAAACCCTTATAACTCGGAATATAAAATTTCTATTACTTAACATGTTTCGTGTCACGGAAATTTCTGTTATATGTTGCTTATAAACTGTACTGATGTTTTAAATAAAATATTAGCTTATATTCAAGTTTTTGGTAATTTTTATATATTTTGATATTGTTTCTTTATGTTTTTACTGCTTTATAACGTATACCACTATCCATGTGTGCCTTAAAAATATTTGCTTAGAAAAATTGGCGCGTACCATATGTGGTACACGTGACACTGGACGTGCTAAATTTCTCGACTCGTATTCAATACGTATTTTAATTCTACAGCTTGAGTTCGGAAGAGATTAGATCTCTAAAAATCGCACTTTTTTCTAATACCTTTGTATTATTGTTGCTTCCAATAATTTATAATTTACATAATTAAAGGTATCTAGATTATATATAATTATTGCATCGATTATGTAGGATCTTATTCTTTCGAAAAATGAATATGGCCTTTTAAATTGTTCATATTTCTGTTTACTGCATGTAGACTTTACCGTTGAGGATGAAAAATTATTCTTATTAAATGGAGAGTCTGGGAATTTATAATCAAAATGTGTATTTTTCTGTAAAATTAAAGTAGTCTGAGGCAATTTAAGAAAACAGAGATTAAATAATGAATTCTTTCTTCTTAAAAGAATTTTAATAACTTAACAGTAAGATGTATAGTAAAGTTCTTAAATTCTTTGAATGTTTCCTCTGTTATAGGTTGCAAGCACAAGATATATAAAATGTATAAAAAATTCCATTTATCATTGATGTATATTCATTCATCATCATCCATTTTGCTCATCTGAAAATATGAATTTGGTTATTGCATCATGTAATCACAGATATTTCTTTAATAAACTCTATGTTATTAATATTTTAATACTATATAAAATATATAACTTTTTGATTCTGAAATATTTAATATGTGTTAACATCAGCAAAAACTAATTCTTTACTTCTTACTAACTGAATTAAGTTGAAATGATTTCACAATATTCTATCAATTAAATTTTCTTTAACCAATAAATATTTTTATTACTTTCCCTCCTTCAACCGATAAAAAAAAGAGAGATATTCAATATCTAGGTATTAACAATTTCGTACATCATGTCACTAATATAAACGACAATATTTATAATAAAATTTTACACGAAATTTTAATTATGATCGACAAAAATTATCCAAAATATCGATAAGGCACTCGAAGTGTTAAATATTCTTTAACCCCTTGCCCTACAACATCGTGTGAGACACGCAATGAAGATTTCAAACAGAATTTAACAAATAATAATGTCATCTAATCCCTTTGAATTCAAATTAAATATTACCTTTCTATTATCAATTGTAGTTCTGTAAAGTAAACGTAGACATAGCATGATCATGAATTGCACTCCTCTTTTTAGCGAATTAGAAGCAATAAAATAATTGTATGGAGTGCAGTTATGAAATAAATCCTAAGGCATTAATGCTTATTAATCCTAAAAAAGAAAGCCACATTATATAAAGAATTGCTTTACATCAGAATTCGGGGAATCAAAAGAAACATTCAAAGCCAGGAGATTGAGACAAAATACCGCACTCGTGGCGTATTGCTCGGTTTTACCAAACTGTACAAAAGTTCGAACAGCGAAATCAATTTTTGTTCCTGTCAATATTTACCGATCAATGAAAGTCGTTTCGATTGCGTGTTTCGTTTCGTGTGCAGAGAATTCTTCCTTCCTGTTCCTCTCGGAACTATGAAGCCGGCGATTCGATTGAAACGATTTTTATTTATTTCATTTACAGCTGCCAGCCTGCATAGAAATTCTGCACGCGGAATCCACAAACGATGACACTCTGATAGGCGTCGTTTGTCAATCGAAAAAGTACGGGGACGAGGTACGGCTAAAGCGAACCTGGTTACAAATGTTGAACGTGAGACGATGTTGTCCGAAAAATACGGAGTTCGATTTGGATACGAAAACTTGTCTAACGTCATCGTATGTAGCTGCTGACGCAAATTTCACCGACTCTCGGGAGTTTTTGGAGTTGCTGCCTAAACCATTGGGCGAAATGGAGTTTTTGAACGTGCCCAAAGGCACGCCCAACTGTTTATCAGGTGCGTTGGTTACCTACGAAATTGGCGCCGACGACATCAGCTTCGAGAACGGATCTTTGTGGGTGAGTGTCTGCAAATGTGTTTTATTTAACTCTCCACCGGAAATTTGCTTTTTCACCGATGTGATTGGTAGTTTCGATCTTTTATGATTAAGTGCTATTTTTCGTTGTTCTGAGTTATGTCAAAATCTAAAGAAATTTGAAGACACCTATTAGATGATTAGATAATTATTAGATAGATAGTAAATAATAATCCCTAATTTAAGCCTCTGGCTTATGTGTTCTGCAGATGTGCTTACCAAAACTGTTTTGTTCTTAATCAATTATTAATTAATTTGACTCTATGTTTCTTATAAATAGCTTATTTAAAGTAACCACATTATGATTTTTAAACTGTAATTTGTGTAATTGTAATTTGTCTGATATTCAGAATTTTTTAGACTTTTTAAACAGTTAAATGATAAAAAATCCTTTCCTAAATATCTGATATGATAATGATAAAATGTAACGATAATGATTGTAAGTATGTGTTAATGCTAAAGCATTTTATATATTTATGACGAAGTGGGTTATTTTCTTCTGCAAATTGTTTTGGTTAGATGAAATGTCATGAAATGTCCAAGAAATGTCAACTATCCATTGTAACAAACTTCACACATTCATAAAACACTGAAGACTGGAAATATATTCTTTTTACATAGCTGAAGTAGATATCTCATGCTTAATTCATTGTACAACTACTATAATCACCATTTAGGAATGACACATGTTTAACATCACTATTTTGTTTGCTTTGATATTTCCCACGTTTCTAAGATCATAGTCTATTCTCAAACACTATGCTTCCTGGATAATGACATTTACATATTTGATATTAAAAAATGTATTTTTATTAGGTTTATTCAAACGATACTAATTTATGGAGTAAAATGTAAAACTATCCCCTCACAATTAGTGTTACTTTAAAAGCATTAAAGATGTAATGAAATTATTTAAATACATTTCTTACGTTTTTCAGAAGTTATACAAGATAATAAATAAAATGAAAACATTTGTAGAAATATGAATAAACTATGTAACAATTTAAGTAAGAATTTATACATAGTGTACATATATACATATTTCGTAAAAGATTATACAATTATTGAATGAATTAGTTTTGTTAAAGTGCTTTATTAAAGTATTTTAACTCCTGACACGATATTAATATATTTTACAAAAAGTCTTAATAACAGTTTTAATTGATTACATTTAACTGCAGAATTATTTCTTTCATATGTTAGTTATTCGTGGTTTTCTCTCGTTAGAAAGGTCGTAATACCTATCCGGTAAGGTTAATTGACAATTTATGTACTGTTCCATAAAGAAAGAGTACTGCTAATAAGGTGTGTCAGTTTACTGCGAAGCTCGCATTAATTTTCCGCAGACAGGTACATGTTCTGCCACACCTACATTGTTTAGGGTTTCTGTTTAATGAAAATCAGAAAAAAAAGCAGTTCATCAGACTAATGACTATTCAGGGAATTCATCGTGATTATTTACAGAAGTAAGTAACGTAGAAAACTTTCGCAAATAAAATTTAAAGTTGTTTTCTCATGGAACCGAAACTTTATTTTAATGATGATAATATAGTTTATCATATTTGTAAAGTTGATATATATTCTTTTGCAAATATCATTGGCTTTCACGAAATCTATTTCTGTCATACCTATTCATTATTGATAACCTTATCGTTTCTGGGTACGTCTTTAACACGTTGACCGCGACAAAAATTTGGAGCGTTTCGTATAACATTACTTACCGTATCATAATAAAAGCAAATAGTAGTAGAATTAGTTATTCATGGTTTGGCATCATAGTTTTTAAGTTATATTACTATTTAATTACCCGTGTTACTAAACATTTTAATTCGATATCAGTTTTCTTCTTGTAATTGTTTTCCAGTCATTTCACGCTCTGGTCATCGGTGACTACTGTAGCTGTCAACGTGTTGATATATATGTTTCGCACTACTATTCAATACTGCTCGGAATCGTAATTGAAGGGTATTTGTAGAAAACGTAGCAAGTGTTAAATTTCAAGTTTTTCAAAAGGAAGAGGAAAATTAACTACTGTTAAGTTGAATATATCGTATCATTATGTCATAATGATGCTATCTTTCAGTATTATTAGTGTTATTGATAACTACTTGTTAGAAAAAGAATACTTGTGGTTAAAAAAAGATAAAGAAACAAAATTTTCTAATTTTTATACATTCAGTGTTTCTTAGAAAAATTCTTGTATTGGATTTTTATGCGCTTTCTCTTTCATGAGGAATGTTAAGAAAAAGTGTTGCAATATTTACATAATATATTGATGTTTTATAGTGTTTAAGACAGCTGAAAATCTGTCGTTATCAAATCTAAAAAGCACGATGCACGAGAAATGAATTTTTATTGCAGATTGATATTTTCCTGTCTTTATCGTCCTTTCAAAGTATAAGGAATAGTTTTTCAATGTAGTCCTCGCTGCACCCATTCAAGTTATTGACAGTATAAATCAGCATCGATAACTCTATTTGGATTGAGTAATTCATCGATAGAATATGTTACACTGATACATATATAATGACGATGAAACTTACACAATTTAATATTTTTATTATTAAACATGTTGCAATTTATGATTGACACCACGTTTAATACTTTTTAATGATGATTAAGAAAGATGATTGTCTTAGTTATAGGTAGTTATATATCATTGGTTTTGAAAAATCATAGCTAATGTTGACGAGTTTGTGAAGTAATATACGAAAACTAATGACCCTAATAATGGGAATATTTGAGATTAGAGTAGTTGAACACCGTATATATTTAGAACTAAAAGTTTCAGTATATCCATTAGTATTGTCTGATTCTGTAATAGAAAGTCATTAAACCACAATTAACGACATGGTCGTTATCAATTTTGTTGTCATCTTAGATACTGATTTTATCAACCTTGAATACTGATAATGTTTTTCTAAGAAATAATAAAACTATTGGTGTGCATATAGATGTAATCTAGAATTTCTACAAAATTAATGATAATGATATGTGAGTAATGATGACAAGTGCCATTAAAATATTTTGTTATGTTAATTTCGTACGGAAATTTAATTTTGCATCAATTACAGTTATATGTGATAATAAACATTGATTACTATTCTTTTATTATTAGTAGTATTACTACTATTCTTTAATATTATTTCTATTAAATTTTAACAAATTATGTATAACCTTAATATTTGTATGATTTGGCATCGCTTAATGATTCCTTTCATTAGATCATTAAAACTTTTAGAAGAGAATTAAATGGAGAATTTATCAAAGATCTGTGGAAACCATAAACAAGAAAATTGAGTTTGTTTTTTTAACTGCATATTATTAAAAATATTAATTAATAAGATGTATGCTATAAAACGACGTATATTAAACATCAGTAAAATTAATGAAAAATAATTACTGCTTCCTGGGACTACAGTATATTTTACAGAGAAAATTTATTCTATTTTCAAGAAATTACAATAGATAAATGTGCATCTCATACGAAGGTCAGCATATCGTACGTCATATTTCATATTTCCAAAAACTGAATATTATTTCTTAATGCACTTATCCGATACAATTTATCATTTCACACAATTGTCATTTTATTTATAATTTCTTAAAGTCCGTCATCTGTGATTTTAATATCCACGTAAGCGTAAGTTTAATATTTATAAGTTAATTCAGAACAAACCCTCGTTTAAAATTTAAATACCTTCGACAATTTTCACGCGCAAAATATTAAAAGATATAATATTAGAAGATTATATATATACGTAGATCCTATATATAGGTACGAATATATATATATATACAATATATATATACAATTACTGTTAAATCGTGCGAAGGATCAATCAGCTTCTCCAGCAGACAAGTTTAACTATTCTGCATAGTTTGTCACGATACGTATGCACAAGAAATCATAATACGCCTCAGGACATCGTATTCGGTGGGAAAAGGATAAAGATAAACAAGCTTCGCGCTTCGTCGCGTTGCTCGAAGGCAATTAATGCAGCTACCTTAACTTTGTTTGTTATGAACGAACACGCGGTGCATGACTTCATCGTCCGTTACCAGAGGAAATTCCCGTTTCTTGTCGAAACCGATCAAGACTGCAACGCTCGATCCGAAAATGGGAGGAACGTGTGAATAGCCGTATTACACTCGATAATCGTTCCTCTGCGATCTGCGCTCGAACGTTCTCGCAACGGCGAAGTGCACAGATGTAACGTGATAGCGAAACGTGTTACATGGAAATCGTTGATACCGATTTCATCGACCGAAATTCATCGAAAACATATTCTACTGTTATCATCATTGACTGTCAATATGGCAATTCTTCTGTATATGGGCTAGTAAATGGACTGTACATTTTTTACCTGTTAACAATAGAACTGTCGAGCAGTCAAATTGTCTTTCTTTTATTTTTCTGGAGATATTGTAAGAGTATATTTATTGAGATTTTCATTGGTTTATATTTTAGTTCGCAGATTACGAAATCAGGTTATTTATGCATTTTCCTGAGAAACGTATGTATCTTGTCAGTGATTGTACAAGAAGAAATCAGAAATAGGTCATTTTTACCTGCCTGATAGCTTTAGTGTTAAATTGTGAGGTCTGAAGAGAATAAGTTACACTGATTATTCAGAAACACAAAGATTTATATAAAATATAAATGAGTAATGGAAGACATATGTTACAACGAGCAAGATTCGGGAAAAAAGAACTAAAAACAAAAGAACAAGTACTCATCAATTGTCATTAGAGACGTGTATCTTAGGGAGAAAGTTAAAAGAAAGAAATATTAGGAGTCAGCTCTTGGCACATATATGTATTTAGATTAACGCTTTATCTACCGCAAGCCTATTAATCGGCTTTTCGATGATAGATGCTGAACAACGCGTTACAAATACTCTGCTTTAAAACATGACAAATTACAACGATATATCAAGATTCAAATTTCAAAATTTGGTCAAAATTTTATTTTGCAATTTT